CGCAGTATGTTAATTAACATGTACATACTTGTTAATGAATTTCTTTTGTTAAAAGAAATGTATTAATTAAATCATAATGACTACATTAAATATTAATATAAGCACTGTTTTAAATGTGATTTTAAAATCACATTGTTTTTGACTTTTTAGAAAGACAATATAATGAAGAAACACAATACGTACAAGACAATGATACTAATGCTGATATTTAAATACAACAATTAAGACGTATATAATGTATATGTAAAATATACTTTAGAAGTAGTTATTTTTTGTAATGTTGATTCTTTTTTAAGTTAGATAAATTAAGTATAAGTACATACAAAAACTTGAATTATGGAAGATTGCAATAACAAAATGCAAAATTAAATAAGATATGTAATTTGTGAAGTTTCTTGTTTTATTGTTATGAATTCTCTTATGGGTAAAGACAATATACCCATTATGTTGATGCAAAATGTAATGTAAATAACCAATTAATACTGTTTTATACATACTGCAAAATTTAAAGTTCAATTTATCATTTGTCAAGTATTTACATTAGAATTTCTCTAAGAAGTTAGATATAAAAATTAAATATCTATTGCCTTTATAGTTTCATAAGCATTACTATTGAATTAAGAGTATTTTTACCAAATCCTTCAACAAACATACTCTTATTTACGATTAAATGTTGCACATAAGTGTTAATTGTATGATTGATATTCATTAACGCATAGTGCCATATATCTATGATACTGACCAATATTTAAAACATAAATAAAAGAAAAAGTTCAGTCTGGTTTTGCATTATAACATACTTCTGTTCCAGAAACCACCAACAACTGACAGATATCTTGATAGCAACGTCTCCTAGCACATTTTTAAGAATTTAATAAGATGTTCTACCTTGTTCCATTTCCCGTCGTTTGAAGAAACATTTGTTTGGACGAATGCGTCTTTTTGTTCATATTCTTCAAAATATTAGCATTTATTCACTATAATGTAACTACTGTTCGAGCCATGATGGTAAAGATGAATTTGGTGACTTCACTTTTATGTTAAATTGCTTCAATGTTGCTTCTAATGCAGTTTGATTTCCAGAAAAATAAGCAGACACCGCATTATGAAACAACAATAACTGTTTATGCATAACCTTGATCTGTAATGAAAATATAACAAAATAATAATAGATATTAAGCATGGTATATAAGCAACAAATAAAAGCATACCCTATTTTCATCTAAGAATTTAAGTTTAATTGAAACATCCGATCGTAGTTTTTCAAAGTTTTGTTTATGTTCTTCATAATTAGCCTGTGCCTCTTCTAATCTTGCTGCATTACTACCATCAGATTTTGTAGCTTGTGCTAACGCTTCAAGATCTGTCCTATAGGCATCATATTCTATTCTGTAAAAGATGTTAATATGAAATATTAAAACATTGAAATCTTATTTTTGATTTTTACATTTTTTATTATAAAATTGAACATTACCTGGCTGTTTCATATTGTCGAACAGTTAGCAGAGTATCCTCAATAGTTTTATTACAAAGTGTGTTTACGGAAGAAACAAAAAAATTTAAGGCCCCTAGTAATGTTTCACCATTTTTAGTTAAGTTCCTTTGAGTTTCCGAATTATATAGAAATTCTTCTTGCAATTCTGGTGATTTCTGTGCTAATTCAGAAAATGCTTCGCCAAGAGCATGCTGTGTTTGTACAACATGATGAAAATGAGAAGCTAATGCTCTAGATAATCGTAATACATTACAGTACTTTCTTTGTGTATCTCTTAATAAATCAATTTGTGTTTCAAGCTCTAAATATAAAAAAATGAATTATGGTTTAATAAAAAAACATTTAAACAGAGTACATTAAAGATCACCTACCTGAATCTACTGTACGAGATGTTTTTCCAAGTTTCTCGTACATTAATTGTCTTGTGCACTTGTAAGTGGAAATACTCCAATTTTTAATGCTTTCGATTTTACTTTGAGCAGTGCGCATTGTTTGTGTATCACCATTTTGGATAGGTGTATTTGGAGACACCGTTACAGCTGTTACAAAATAAAAATAATTTTTAGTTTTTTTAAAAATTTGATAAAATAATCTACATTACATTATAGTCCATTGATATTACTTACACATTTGTGATGTAGGACTACCCAAAGTTAAATTTATTGTAGCAGGTCTACCTTGAGTATCATTATTACAGTTGTTTGGTACATGAGGAGGAGGAGTTCCACCATGGACCGCATTATCATTTTCATTTATAGGTGGAGCATCTTTCAGCATTTCATGAATACTTCGCTCCATTCCACTGAATGTAACAACTATGTATAAATATAAAGAAAACTTATTTATATTTATGAACAAATATTTCAAAGATATGTAAGCAGAATATATTATTGAAGTAGTAAGTGTTTAAATAAATGATCTAATGTAAATGAAAATATAATTGAAATACATAGTGATAAAAATGAAAAGTTCTAATTGTATATGGTATATAAGAATTTATAGTAGTAAGAGAAACAATTAAATTTTACGGGGTAGTCAGACAATTATGAAAAAGAAGAAAAATGTTTACGTGAAACCGCCATTTTTTATAACATTCGAGTCATTAACAATTGGTATGTACAAATAGAAAATTATTACATAGAAAAATTATATGAAAATGACTCAACATACTATGATATATGTATAAAGCTTTAATACTTTATTAATGGTAAAAAATAGAAATAAAAGAAGCACCAAGAACTGTCACTTGACACCTGTTTTAAAAACTAAATACGGTTAGAATAATTGTAATTTGTAAAGTTTTAAGACTCATTTTTTGATAGTCGAAAGTGCAACATTTTCGGTACATATAAGGAATATACATACTTACTAAAAAATGAGGGAATATAAGGAAATGCTATTATTATATGCAGAAAACTTCAGAATGAATCTGTATAATGCTTCATGGGACATGCAATACACGAAGCTAGGTGGCGTAATGCAAAGGTCCCTTGGAAACACCCGATTGTCAAGCTTCTGATAAAATTTTATTGTATTTATTTATCGTTATGTAAATATTTTCATTATACCGAATAATACTTTTATATTAACATGTTGATAAGAATCCTACAAAAAGTTAGAAAGAATGTTTTAATTTTGAGACACGATACAACGCTGTATATGTCATAAATGTTGATTTGAAAATTATGTTGCAAAATAAACTATTTATAGATAGAAAATTGTATAATAAGTAATGTATAATAATAGAAAAGCCTTATTTGTATGCAATTGTGATTAAAAGATATTCACAGAATGACAACGATGCGTTTGTACTTCGAGTCGAGTACATAATCTACAATTCTGTATTCTATGATTAAAATCGAAGCATGCGGTGGTGTGCAAGTACGGAAACTCCTTCGAAAAGGTTGTAAGGAGTTTCCTCCACGTTTTTGATTTTGACAGGTACATAGCTGTATACGTGCCTATTAAATATAAGGAAGTAATGACATAATGTATTTGCAATTAATTAACTTCTTAAATTTTACGATATAGTTAAGGAATATTATTCTATCAGTATATTTTACAATTAATTGCACGAGGTTAGAATTCCGTAAGGAAATTGGGGGATTGCATTTTCCTATATTTTTCGTTTCGTTTGAGTGCACATATTTATGAGAATTTATGCATAGCATGTTGACAACTACATTCTTTTTTCTGATTTGTATTTTCAATTGAAAACTCACTATCCGCTTTTTAATTGGGTATGAATAAAACATATGTTAAAATGTTTTGTAAGACTTTTAATTGCTTGATAAAATTCCCAGTAAAAATTTTTGGAAGAATTGATAAGTCAACTGTGGGGTAAATTAATATTAATCCAAGTACATTTTAAATACAAATGCTTTTTACATTTAATTTTCAGGCAGGCAGATAATTTATCATCATGCCGCCTAAAAAGTCTATGGAGGAAACAGATCGCCTGACTCGTATAGCTATTGTTAATTCAGATAAATGTAAACCAAAACGATGCAGGCAGGAATGTAAACGATCTTGTCCAGTTGTACGGATGGGTAAACTTTGTATAGAAGTTAATCCAAATAGCAAAATAGCATCTATTTCAGAAGAATTATGTATTGGATGTGGTATTTGTGTTAAGGTATATTATAGCTTTTTATGTTCAAGATTCATCTATTCTAAGTTTGTAATTGTTTAAAATGTATAGTAATATTAATAATATTTTGTTTTTAGAAATGTCCATTTGAGGCAATATCCATTATTAATCTTCCTAGTAATTTAGAAAAAGAAACTACTCATCGTTATTCAAAGAATTCATTTAAACTACATAGATTGCCAATTCCACGTCCTGGAGAAGTGTTAGGTTTGGTAGGAACTAATGGAATTGGTAAATCAACTGCTCTTAAAATTTTAGCAGGCAAGCAGAAGCCGAATTTAGGTCGATTCACTGTATGTATATCTACATGTACATGTATATTTTAAATGATAGAAGTTACATTAATCTATGATTTCAATTATTAATCTAGGATCCACCAGACTGGACTGAAATCTTGAGTCACTTTAGGGGTAGCGAGTTGCAAAATTATTTTACCAAAATATTGGAGGATGATTTAAAGGCCCTTATTAAGCCTCAGTATGTAGATCAAATCCCTAAGGCTGTAAAAGGCACGGTGCAACAACTTTTAGATAAAAAAGATGAATGTAAAAATCAAATAGACATTTGTAAAATGTTAGGTAAGTTAACATTAGCATAAAAAGTACAAGTAAGCGAATAATCTTTCCCGATTATAATTCGTTAATTAAATTTTTCTTAGATTTGATGCATATACGTGACAGAGGCATTGATGCACTTTCTGGTGGAGAACTTCAACGATTCGCTTGTGCTATGGTGTGCATTCAAAACGGAGATATTTTTATGTTTGACGAACCGTCGTCATACTTAGATGTAAAGCAACGTCTAAATGCTGCTTTAACAATCAGATCTCTTATTCACCCTGACAAGTGAGCAATTAATATGATTGTAATTTTTTGTCATTTTTCTCATATCTTATAACGTCTTCGAAATTCTATAGGTTTATTATAGTAGTGGAACATGACTTGTCAGTTTTGGATTACTTATCAGACTTTATATGTTGCCTTTATGGTGTTCCTGGAGCTTATGGTGTTGTAACTATGCCTTTCTCTGTGAGAGAAGGTATAAACATTTTCCTTGACGGTTTCGTTCCCACTGAGAATCTGAGATTCCGCGAGGAATCTCTTGTCTTCAAAGTAGCAGAAAGCGCAACTGAAGAGGAAGTGAAACGCATGAATCACTATGAATATCCATCAATGACAAAAACGATGGGATCCTTTCAATTGAACGTTGAGAAAGGTCAGTTCACTGACTCGGAAATTCTCGTGTTACTTGGAGAGAATGGAACTGGGAAAACGACGTTTATTAGAATGTTGGCTGGTAATTTGCCACCTGACGATGGCTCTGGTATGTAAATTTTAATTTGCATTAATCAAGTTCCAATATAACTGTTGAGCTATATAATTGGAAGTAACTATGTAAAATAATTTTATCTGTTATAGGAAGTATTCCTCTATTGCATATCAGTTATAAACCACAGAAGATAAGTCCTAAATCTCAAGGCATCGTGCGACAACTGTTGCATGAAAAGATTAGAGACGCTTACGTACATCCTCAGTTCGTGACGGACGTTATGAAACCTTTAAAGATAGACGACATCATGGATCAAGAGGTGCAAAATCTTTCTGGAGGCGAATTGCAGCGAGTGGCTCTTGCTCTGTGTCTCGGAAAACCGGCTGATGTTTATTTGATCGATGAACCCTCCGCTTACTTGGATTCCGAGCAACGTTTGGTGGCAGCTAAAGTGATAAAACGGTAATAAAAATTCATTGTTTCATATTCATTATTAATGTTCAATAAAACGTGTATTGAAGACTACTATAACTTACATTATTGTTTCAGATTTATACTGCACGCGAAGAAAACAGGATTTGTAGTAGAGCACGATTTTATCATGGCTACATACTTGGCTGATCGCGTAATAGTATTCTCTGGTACACCATCATTGGCAACAGTAGCTCATAGTCCACAATCTTTACTGAATGGCATGAACAGATTCTTGGAACTATTAGGCATTACTTTCAGAAGAGATCCAAACAACTTTAGACCAAGGATTAATAAAAATCAATCTGTAAAAGTATGTGATCTGAATAAAATGTTCTTTCTTTTTGCATGTGATTTCATTCATGAGACACGTTAATATCGTTGCAATATCGGTAATATCTATAAGCAATATACTTCATTTAGAATAATTATGATTATACTGTTTACAGGACTTGGAGCAAAAACGAGCAGGACAATACTTCTTCCTAGAGGAGTGAGATGTGATCTCGACAACGAGTTGAATAGCAGCTTATATGAAATACTGTGAAGGAATTTTTGTAAATCTTTATACTTTTAAAAGCCGGGAATAGAATTCTTACAATATATTAAATATCGGTGACGCATGTTTTGCGTTTGCTCAAAATATTATTCGTTTCGGCACGTCAGTTCTTCTACTTGTATAATATATTTATTTTAGTAAATATATAAAAGCAAGTCTCGTGAAGTGTATTACGACAGAAAGGAAATTTCATTTCAGGAGAAATACAAACGTATTTTTGTATAACATATTGCCATGATAAATTTATTTATATTCATCGACGTGCGTGATAAATCGCATTTCCAAACCGATATATCATACAAA